TAGAGTGTATACGGTTCACAGGGGAGGAATTGATAGGGTATTGCTATCGGAGCTGGCATTAAATCTGAGATCTAGCGAAATTGGCTGGCTGCTTAGTTTGGTCGGGATCAGATAGCTGTTGTGTGTTGGTCCAACGACGACATGTTAGGTATCAGAACTCCCGTATGTATCGTATTATCCCCGGCTTTATGTGCCAAGGAGGTGACTTCAATTTCGGCAATGGCGGCATGGGCGAGTCGATCTACGGTCAGTTTATGCGGAATGAGAGGTGGTTAAATTGTCTTAATCGTCTTAATCGTCTTAATGCTTTATAGCCGTCTTCAGATTTGCATTTAGTCACTCGAAGCGTGGTGTATTGAGTATGGCAGATGCGGGATGGGAGTAGGAACTGTCTGGGATGGGTCGCAGGGCATGTTTGTTGTAGCGTTGGTTCAACGCTAAGGAAAGCGACCACACATATCCCAACGCTGTTGGGATATGTGTTGTCGCTTTCCTCAGCTGAGCTTGGGAGTTTCCCCACGAATTCGAGTAGAAATGTAGAGAATTTCCAAAAAAAATTCCTCAAAACTTTCGTATTGTCACCAACATATGTGTATATCTCCCCCCCCCCCCCCCTCATACTCTGGTTTGTTCAGGCACAGCAACAACAGTAATTTCTTTATAACGTTTGGCCCTCAGAAGCATCTAGATGGTAAACATGTTGTTTTCGGTGCGATCGAGCACGGCATGGAAGTAGTAGTAGTAGTTCGGACTGTTGCCACTGTTTTTCATTCAAGTGTGGAAGGTTCTTGATGCTATTGAAAAGGTGGGGACCATTGGAGGCAAGCCTAAGAGACCAGTGATAATACACAAGAGGTGGGCAGTTCATTGGTGTTGAGGTATAGGGAAGGTGTTGGCAGTGGCGAATTGAATGTGGACTTGTTGCGACGAGAAGCAATAGAGGCTAATGAGAGCTTACCGTTGGGGTCTGAGGACTATGTGGAGAGGAGTGTGGATAGCTGGAGTAATCCTGATCCTGAGATCAATGACAATGATGGTGTATACTGCATGCCTGAGA